TTAAGAAATAATAATCATGTGGAATTTTGTTTGAATTGTTTAAGAAATTAGGAAAATCCTAGTGTATCAAATTATCTAAATTTTTGTATTGATAAGTGTTATAAATAAAAACAAGTTCAAAAAAAAAAAAAAAAAAAAAAAAAACAAAACAAAACAAAACGGAGGAAGTATTTCTTTTGTAATTAACACTCGTATGTAATGTTGCTTACCCCAGCAGAGGTGATCCTAAATCGGCTAAATGTAATGCCCATTTTCTTCTGGTTTCATACCTGAGCTTGTTGTTTGCGTTTATATTGAAAGTCTCACTTTGATTACTGACTAGTAGAGCTGTCAGTTTCTGACCCAAACCATTAAATCCGCTTGTTTCGAACCGATCCGAAAAGAAACTAAACCGTTAAAAACCCGTTTTTTGGAAACCGAAAACAGACCCAACCCAATTTTTTCTAACCCAAAACTGAATTGAACCAAATTTGTACGAACCATTACTAATCCGACCCGTTATCAAGCCAAACTGTTACAACATGAAACAAAAATCAACCCGAACCGATTACGTCTGAACCCGATAGTAACCTGACCCATTTTAAACCGAAAACCGTTTTAACCCAGCAAAAATCCGATAAACCTGAACCGGTCCAAGTCGTAACCTGTTGTTACCGAACCATTTATAACCCGTAACCCGTTGAAACCGAAGTCGTTTACAACCCGTAAGCCAATATGTTTATGATCTAATCCGTCTCAACCCACTACTCGATAAACCCAACTTATTTATGACTTAACTTGATTATAACATGACCCGTTCCCAACCATTATCTGACACTCGACTCGATAATAATCCGTCTCGATTTTAAACCAATATGATTTGGACTGAAACCCGCTTCAAATTGGGTAAACCTATTTTCAAACCGACCAAGTTCAGTCCAAACCGATTATGACCTGAACCGATAATGACCGGACCCCCAATTTCACCCAATCTGTTTTGAACCGAAACCAATTTTCAAACTGACCCGGTTTAACCCAAACTGATTATGACCCGAACCGATTACAACCTGACCCGATTACAACCCGAACAATTTTGAACCGAAATCCACTTTAAACTGGCTAAACCCATTTTCAAACCGACCCGATTCAACTCAAAATGATTATGACCCGAACCAACTACAACCCGACCCAATTACGACCAAACTCGAATAGAAACCGCAATAAAATAAAAAAATAAATAAATAAATAAAAAAAAAAAAAAAAAAAACTCAAACCGAACTAAAAGGTTGTGGAATGGAATAAAGGTTGTGGTGTCTTTGGTCTATTTAGCTTCAATTTGCTTCTTTTGAAGAACTTCTGTGGTAAGTCTTGCAAAAGTAAGATAGATTATAGGATCCACAATTATTACATCAAGCATAATCATTTTGATGGGGTGGTTATTAAGTTAATAGGTCAAAAGTAGTGCCGTGACTTGTTTTCTTAGAAAGGTCTATATGCCTATAGGCCGTGATTCAATTTGATGTTTTCTCTGGTAATTCCCAAGTAGAACCTATGTTGCTGATTGACATCCCAAGAAAGATATTATATTGCATGTCATGTGAGCCAATGTAAGAGTCTTATCAGCACAAATTCTCTGACAATTCCAATCTAATCTTATTTTGGCATGGGCTCTATGCTTGGTGACGCACTTGGTTAGCTACAGATATAAGAAATTGTTCCCTATTTTGCTCAAACAATATTTCGTAATAGTGTGAGGTGAATCTGTTAAGCTGTTTTAGCAACAGCTGTTCATATGGTTTGAGGTGTTAAAATGTTAATATTTTCAACAGTAGAACTGTTTTATTTTCAAATATTTGGGTTTCCTATCTGGATTAATTTCTGGATTTTTGAAGGTTTTAGTTTGTTGGAACGTTGTTTTTTTTTTCTTTTTTTCTTTTATTTTTGTGGGGGGGGGGGGGGGGGGGGGGGGGGGGGGGGGGGGGGGGGGGGGGAGTGATTAAATGGGTGTTTCTTTTAATTTCGAGTGAGTTAAAATTGAGTTGGAATTTTCAAGGATTTATATAATCTTCCAACTTTTGGTTGTGAGAAATTGAGGTGATTAAGAAGGTTGTATGGGTAGCATAAAAATGAAGTTTGGAGCAAAAAATTGTGCAAGCTTAACATCAGTGATGTCTAGCTTTATTCCTACCATCCCTATCTCTATTTCCATGCACGCTTTCTCCTTTTTTTTCATTTACCAATTTTTGTCACTTTTCCAGCTTTTTCTTAATTATCTATAACAATCGTTGTAGACCTTGTAGTTGTAGTATGTAACAGACCCATGTAAGTTTTTGAAAAGTTATAATTGTGTACTATTGTAATGTATTCGGCATGTTACACTCTATGTTACTCTAACTCGAGAACTCGTACTAAACAGGGTATGTGTTCAAGTCTCCAACTCGGCTGTTAAAGTGTTGAAGTGTCCATACACATGTTGAAGTGTCTCGTGGGTACTGAAGTAAAATACAAAGTCCAAGTAACATTGTTTAGATTATATTTTTAGGTGTTGAGTTTGTGTTACTTCCTATTGGAACAATTAATATCAATATAGTCTTGAGTTACATGTTTTAAGGAGGAAAGTTCGCTGTAGAATATTCTTAGCAATTATCATAGAGGGTGGTGGGTAATCTGCTGCTTTTGAAGAATGGTTGTACTTTATGGATTTGGATTGTAATGAATCGATGCTCAGCTGAGTGTTTTTTTGTAAAAAATCTGTAGGTAGCTTAGTACTGACTAAGAAATATGTGGCTATTTCTTGAGTAGAGCTTCTTATCGATACAAAATTTTACTGTACTTCGTAATCTAGGAACTTTATATGAGTAAGATCCAAGAAGCAGTCTCTGCCACTACTTAAGTTTCTGTTTCACTGAGCTCTCAAATGAGCGAGAACACAGCTACTTATTGAGAAATAGCTTGGCCTATCACTATCTAAAGTATCATGCTATTATGATTTTTGAGTGGATTTGTGTGATGTAGAAGGGAGTAGTTTCCTCGAGGTTGTGGAATCATGAACTTAAATTCCTTTTTAAGCCATATTGGCCACAAGAAAAAAGAGCTCACTAGTTGCAGCAATGTAGAAGACTATGAATAATCATGGCTCAAATTATTTGAGAATAGCCACATTTTGATGTATCAATTTCGGGACCATATCTGGGTATACATCCTAGATTTTCCTTTGACTTCTTTCCTAAGTGTAATGAGTAATGATAATGTTGTTCTAGTACTTACTTAAGGCAGCACACATTTTGTTGACGTATAATAACACGATTACAAATCAGTAAGTTTCTGAAACTTATGATATGTTTTTCGGGAGTTACTCTGATGGAGGGGAATACTCAAGTCTCTAGGTTACAATGAGTACCCCCATAAGATACTTGATACTGTGACATAAGTATGAACACTTGAAACTTTTAAGAAATATCAGAGGCATACCCTGTTTCAACTTTTTACAGCGAAGCTCAGTTAAATTAGTTTTATGAGAGGAAAATGCCTAAAATGTTGGGGGCATGTTATACATTGTCAGAGACTGTTATGTTCTAAGTGAAAGATATTCTTTCACAGGATGAAGCCAAGTACAAAAGCAAACTTACACGGCAAAAACATCAAATCTCATCAATCATCATCCTTGCCATCTCAAAGCCACCACCACCAGTTCATCAAAATGACGCAAATGAGAGTGTGAAGCAACTTGGAGATTGCTCATCTTTGTACTTGTCATTACAGGTACACAAGTATGGTACTAAATTACTACTATATATAAGAAGATACAATTTTGTTTCTAATATATTATGTATAATCTGAACATACGTGCAGGATTGTTTGATAAAAACCGATAGAAACTGGAAATCGTGCCAAAAGGGTACGCTTTCTTTTCATAACTTGTGTTTCTCTTTTTGGTTTATGTTACCATTTCCATCCTTCAAATTAATTAGGTTAAAGTTTCTTTCAAAATCTTGTTGTCCAAAAGTAGAAATTTCAAAGTTTGCTCAAGTTCTTGTTAATTTTGTTCTTGCACGTTTTGCACTTGTGTAGAGGTTCAAGCTCTTAAGGCATGCAGTGAAAGGAAGAAGCAAGAGAAGTGACAAATGTTGTTGCACTAGAGGATTTCATATATTAAGTAGCAATGCTCATTTGTTGCTCTTTAAGAACCTCAAGTTTGTCAAGCAACTGATTACAAGCAAGATTTTAGGGCACGAAGGTTCAAACGTAGTTGGCCTTTCCCATTGTTTCGATGCTAATGGATGAATGATTTTTCTCCTCTTGCGATTTGAGCACAATGTAAAGTTGGCATGTTTGCAATGCTTGAGAGTGTCACTCACTTAGTAGGTGGATAACAACGGTTGGTTAAACTTACTGTGGGTTCATTAGAGGAAATGAATTTAAATTGATGTTCTTGGCTATTCATATATAAGGTGTTGATTAGACAACATTGGTTTTTCCTTTTGGGCCAAGAGAGGCTTGAAGGACAGTGATGTACACAGGATCTCAAATGATTCTTCTATCCTCAAGGCTATTAATTACATAAAGTGAATAATACATGTTCATTTTTTGAAGGGCTTATGTCATGTGTGAGCTTTGACCACTTGGCCAATCATGTATTCATGTATGACTTATAAGCTATTAATTTTTTTTACAAAAAAAAAAATAAAACAATGATCACCCAACTTGTAGAAGGATCCAAACCAGATATCAACCAACCTAAAATCAAATTAGGCCTTTATAAAACCAACTAGAGAATTATTTAAAAAAAACCCATTGTAACAATGTTTGATGAAACAAAGTATTATGAGACAAAGTTAAAGGGACAAACTAAAAAGGTAAATAGGGCAAACATGGAAGGACAAATAGACTTGTACAGAGCAACATAAAAAATTTCGAGTCATTTCTTTTCATAAAATTGTCCAAGTTTTATGAAAAATCAGTGCAAACTGTGCAACTAATACGGGATGGAGAGAGTATTGTGAGTTTGCGACTCCTATCTAGTTTGGTTTCGTGAAACTTGTACGTACTAGACATAGGCGGGAAAATACTACTCCAATTTGGGTCTTTAGTCTCTCTCCTACATTTCCCTCTTCTACAGTCTCTCTCCTCCATTGCCTTTCCTTTCAAGCAAAACTCCTTTTGCCTACTTTTTCTTCCACAAATCGCAAATCTTGACTAATTTCTCACTCTCCACCTTTCCAATTCTTAAGGTATGTCTGCTCAACAATTTTAATTTACCGTTATAATGCTTATTTTTATGTTTTTATCTTCAAATTATTTCGTTTTGAATTGGAACTTCAATCTTCCATTTTCGTAATCTATTGAGTTCGTAATCATTCTTCCTATCATCTCATATTCCTGTGAATTCTTGTATGATTTGATTTAATTGATTGATTGAAGAATTGCTAAACAAAACCCTAAATTAAAACCCTAGTTAGGTCTTGAATTCATTCACGAATTCAATTATTTTGTATGCAAATTTCAATTTTTTTTATTAAATCCCTAGTAGTGCTTGTGCAGAACTCGAATATTTATGTTGTATTTGTGATAAGCTTTGTTATTTCTTTGGATTTTGAACAAAATTTTGACACTCAGGAAAAAAAAAAAATTGAATTGCCGTAATTTGGTGCTGATTTCCCAATTTCCTCATTTTATGATGAAAGTAGGAAACCATGAAGTTCGAATCGAGTCCGAATTTGTTTTATTATATATCCGATTTCTTGATACTCAGAAAAATTCCTGTTTATATGTTTGATATACTGTATTCCGGGGGTCTATAATAATTGTAGATGTCGTATGACTTTTCTAAACGATGATTTCCTCCATTTACACTGAAATAGAAACTCGTTATTCAATGGAAGAAGCTCAGTTTTTTCCACATTTGTCTGTCTCAGTAATTAGTGAAGCAATACTGAAGAAATTGCATAGATGGATTCGGAGGCTGCACGAACTGCACGAGACTCTCTGGAACTAGCATTTCAGATGTCGAACATACTTGAAACGGGATTAGATCGTCACTCTCTTTCTGTCTTGATTGCACTATGTGATCTTGGCTTGAACCCTGAGGCGCTTGCTGCAGTTGTGAAGGAGCTTAGAAGAGAGCCCCCACCTTCTTCGACCATCCCAGCTGATGCACCTGCTCATTCCTGAACATTTTTTCCTCTGCCCTGTTATTTGTATTCACCCTTTACCTTTTCGTTTCTATTGTAGAGTTTTTACTTTTTAGTATTGAATTGCTTTGGAGAATGCTGCAGATGTATCAGCTTCAATATATGCTTGAATTAGCAAGTAGCCTGGTAACTTTGTGTTATACTGGTATAAAATTGTTGTTTGTTGATTTCTCTTGGTTTTAGTTCGAGTAAAATTTATCTTACTAGCTACATCTGGTAGAAAAATTTGCATTTGCAGTCTTGTACAAGTTTGCCGAGGGGAAATTTAGTTTAATTCATGAAAGTTGCTGAAAGATTGGCAGAAATTTAACAATATAACTACTGACTGCTGAGAATTGTTGGTTTCTACTCAAAATGTGTTTGATCTCTTAGAAATGCTGATTATAATGACAAATTGTTAGCTTCTTCTTCAAATGTGTTTTCCCGCCTACACAATTTGATACATGTATTATCTAGATTAATAGGACTGAAATACAAGTCATTCAGACAGTTGTATGCTTGAAACCTCTGGATGAGACCAGTGAAGCAACTATCTAACAAAATTTGATTCAAGGTTTTTGATTCTACCTAAAATTTTAATCAATCAAGATTGTTGACATGTACATAATGTTAGTGAATTGATACAATACTTAACATGTAGGAACCTTCTATCTAGCAATCAAATAACTTACATCCTTATCGAAATCTTTTTCATATGGATTTTTATTTTGATCTATTTAGAAATACATGTAATTTTTCTGTTAAAGATGGTGTTGAAGAATGAAGAGGAAAAAGAGATGTTCGAGAAGTCTGAGGAGTGATGAGTCTGATGACCCTTACAAAACCTAGAGGTCATTCATTTTTCATTATGGTGCACTTAATATATCTTTTCTTTTGTAGTAGATATCAACTCGGTATGCAATAACATTTCCTCAATCCTTAAAACACAATGTAAAATGTTTACCATGTTGGTCTTGATAGTTGATATAGTGATTGTTCAATTCATCTGTTGATCAATAGGTTGAGCCTGTTGACTCGTTGAGGTTCGATATCTAACATTTAGAACTAGAGAGATCCTTGATCAACCCTTTATCCTTAACTGGAGCACCTAATTCCTACGTGAAGAGACTAGTCACTAATGCCACTAATTGTCGTTGTTACTTTGGTATTTCATTCAAACCCCTTAAAATAGTCAACTTTTGTGAGTCGTTATAAGCAACTTTGGTATTTCAAACCCCTTAGAAAAACCAACTTTTATGAGTCACTATAAGCATATGATTTTATTGCAAAATTCGCAATTTGTCTTTTCTTTTGACCAAACTCACCTACAAAGTGGTCGATAATAAGGCGGTACAATGTTCGATTACAGAGCACAAGTATTATTTAAATATTTGTGATATAACCCGCTCAACTCCACCTTTTCTGGCTTTTCAAACTTCTCGTCCTTGAGAATTCTGAAACAAACATTTGAAGTAGCCACTTTAAAAGCTTCGATTATCTCAAACCCCCATTACTCTCTAAATTCAACAAGATTTCAAACCACCAAAAACCCTAAATTCTCCTCCTTCTTCATTCATCAATTTTTCACAATTTTAAACAGAATGACAACCTCCTACAATCTTGAAGACGAAGCAAACGATTATGAAGAAACCCAATTCACAGACCCCCAACTTTCTCTCTCCTCTTCTTCCGAAACTTACATGGTGGGTTTCGTCATCGTCAAAATCGTCGGCATGCAGCACTACACCGCAAGAATAAGCGGCCGACAATTGGTGGGTTTAGTCCGAGATGACTTGAATGTGCACGACGAAAACGCCATTAGAGTGCTCAACACTCGTGGGGCTCAAGTGGGTTATATTGAACGAGTTGCTGCGAAAGTTCTAGCGCCATTAATGGATACCCAACTGATTATTGTTGAAGGTATTGTTCCTAATACTCCTAATTCAGGTTCTAGGTTTAAAATTCCTGTTCAACTTCATATATTTGCTAGAATTGAGGCTTTCCCAGATGTTCAATCTGCGATTTTAGGAGGAGGGTTGCAGTTAGTTGCTGGGAATAGTCCTAGTTTCGCGCTATCGGATGCCGAGGTTGTGAAGGAGAAGAGGAATAGTAAGGATGTTAAAAGTGTTGATGAGATTTTTGAGTTGGTTGATGAAAATGTGGGTAGGAAAGAGGGTTTGGTTGTGAAATTGGAGCCCCCAAAAGATGTTATTTTGCCTGAGTTGTTTGATCACCAGAAAGAAGGGCTTGGGTGGTTGGTTGGGAGGGAAAATTCTGAGGAGTTGCCCCCTTTTTGGGAGGAGAGGGATGGGGTGTTTGTCAATGTGTTGACAAATCATCAGACGAGCACGAGGCCTGAGCCGATTAAGGGTGGGATTTTCGCCGATGATATGGGATTGGGGAAGACCTTAACTTTACTTTCTTTGATTGCTTATGATAAAAAATGTTGTGGTAGTGTAGGTAAAACTAGTGAGAATTGTGGTGATGGGGATAATATAGATGATTCTGGTGGTAGGAAGTCGAAGGGAGGTAGAAAGGGCAAAAGGGGTAGTGTTAATACTGCTAGGAAGAAGAGGAAAGTTGATTCAAGTGATGTGGTGAATGAGAACTTGGTACCATCAAATACAACATTAGTTGTGTGTTCGGTTTCTGTCTTTTCGGTTTGGACAGAACAGCTTAGTGATCACACTTATCTTAACTCGTTGAAATACTATGAGTACCATGGCAAGGACAGGACACGTGATGTGGAGGTGCTTAAGAAGTATGATGTAGTGCTCACCTCATATAATACTTTGTCTGTTGAGGAGAGTCTATCTGAGTCACCGATGAACAAGATGGACTGGAGGCGTATTATCTTAGATGAGGGACATATAATTAAGAATACCAATGCAAAGTTGAGTCGTGCAGTGACAGCTTTAAATAGTAAGAGAAGATGGGTGGTGACAGGAACACCCATACAGAACAGCTCCTATGATCTGTTTTCGCTTATGGCCTTCTTGAAATTTGAACCCTTCTCTAATAAATATTACTGGAATAGAGTTGTGCAACAGCCATTACTTCAGGGAGATAAAAAAGGTCTTGAGCGTCTTCAGGTACATCTTTTCTCTTGTGTTTTTTTAGCTTGTGGGAAATTAGTTATGCTTTAGGATAATGAAACACTCATTCTACATAGAAGTAATATTTATGAGATAATTCAGCATCATTTGACTCTGTCATTGTTTGTCACTTAGTTTGTCTGCCCCATCACTGATAACTCCATTCCTTCATGCAAAAGAATCTAAAGTACAGTCTACAATCCAATGAATAGCAATGATGTACTGTTTGTTATTCTTAACCTTGTTTTCTAAACATCTCATTGTAGGTCTTAATGGCAACTATCTCATTGAGAAGAACAAAAGAGCAAAATTTGATCCAGTTACCATCAAAATCAATAAATACTTGTTATGTTGAACTTATGCATGAGGAACGTAGACTATATGACCGCATGGAAGAAGAAGCCAAACAGATTGTGAAGAATTATATCAATGATGGTAGTGTAACACGTTACTACTCCACTGTCCTCAGCATTATATTGAGACTTCGCCAAATTTGTACTGATGTCGCATTGTGCCCACATGATATTAAATCCTTGCTCCCTCCAGACAATGTTCAAGGTTGGCACTCTCCTTATGTGTTTGCATGTCTGTTCTACATCTTATCCTGCACAAACATGCTTTTCTGTCAACTCAGTTGTCAATTTATCTCCAATTTTAAACACTGTCTTCTACTGATGCATCTATTTGTTGCTGAGAATGTTGATTATTCTGCAATTTACATGTATTGACTCTGTTAGATTACATATCTGTTCAAAGCACAGAGCTTTCAAGCATTATTTTTTATTCTAAATCAGGAAATCATGGCTAGATTGCTATTAGTGGATGTTTTCTGAAATATGTACTTTTCCATACATGCTTTATATGTTTATTGACAATTATGAAAAATATCAAGGGTTGTTTACCTAAATTGGTATTTGTTTCTCAACTCCATTCTAACAGCACACCAACTGGGTGGTTTTTGTTGTTGCCTCTTGTTGTTTCTCCTTCCTTAGACAATAGACTTATTTAAGTAAACTCCTTTTTAAGTTATTCTGAATTTAATGTCCATTTCTAGTGATTATGCCTCCATATAGTAGCTATTCTGCTCCATTTAGAAGTGATTATCTACTCTGCTCTGTGAAAAGTATTATTGTTGTTTGAAGCTAAAAAAGGTTGCCACGTAAAAAAGGCTCCATGTAGTTGTATTACAGTATTAGGTATGAATGTCCAGTGGGGAAAATCAAGATATACAAGCCTTTTTTCCTTATTTGATGAACAATATTGGTTATTGTCGGCCTTCAGAAAGGTTTTATATGTTAATTTACTTGTCTTCTAGTCACTTACTCATCGTAGATGTTGATAAGGGAATTTAGAGCCTTTTCCTCACAATTTTTTCTCTCTTATGTATCATGAAACTTACCTTTTACTAATTGTGGACGTTCTTGTTCTACATAGATTAGCTTTAACTTTTTAGAGTTTTAGGACTTACAAATTTTAATCTGTCTTCTATGTACAGCTACGGGAATTTCCAGTTTTTGAAGCCATATGCTTATTTTATTTTTATTTTATTTTAGGCAAGCTGTTTTGAAGTCTACCATTATTTTACTAGTTTGCACTGTTGTGGCTTTTACTAGTTTGCACTGTTTTGGCTTTGTAAGAGCCTGCGTGAAACTTTTTTTTTTTTTCTCCTGAACATCACATTTTTAGTTAATTAACTTCACATGAAGAAGAAAACAGTCTTTTAGAAAGGATTGAGCTAACAGTGGTATCTAAGGCACTATTGATGTTGTTTCCTTTAACTACATGTTGCTACTATAATAAAATTCCTAGCATCTATCTAGATACCATTCATCTCCTTGTTATTACTACCCTGCAGATGTGTCTAATAATCCTGAACTGTTGGAGAAGTTGGTGTCATTGCTGCAAGATGCTGAAGACTTTGACTGTCCAATTTGCATCTCTCCACCAACAGATGTTATAATAACAAGTTGTGCCCACATATTCTGTCGTGCCTGCATTGCTAAAACTCTTAATCTTACCAAAGCCAACTGTCCTATGTGCCGCCATCCCTTGTCAGAGTCCGAGCTTTACTCAGCCCCACCCCCAGCAGAGTTGTCAGATGACAACAATGCATCCTCTTCACCTAAAGCATCTTCA